CTCCTGCTGCGCTCCGTCGAGCAGAACGCCCCTGTTGACAGCATCCCCTCCCTCTTTGCAAACGCAGAGGTGCCCTGCCCGCACGTGATGGTTGAGCTGCTGGGCAGCATCTACCTGCGGCAGGCTGCAGAGCAGCAGCAGCAGGAGCAGCAGCAGCAGGAGGAACAGGCAGAGCAGCAACATGAAGGCCGATGACACATTGCCCACGTCTCTACAGCCCACTTCCCGGCCGTGCCCCAGTACCCATCACTCTCCTCCTCCCTCCCCTTGACTAGGCAGGCTCCCCATCGCCGTCCTCATTCTTTCTTGCTCCTTGTCACATGAGCGTGAAGGGCGCAACAGGTCGCAGCGCGAAAAAAACAATGGAGGCACTGCCGCAGGCAGGCCTGCCCCACACTTGGAGCGCCAGAGGGGCGGCATGCGGCGGCGCAAAGGGATGGGAAGCAATGCAGACGGAGGGGGGGCATGGGAATGTGCACTGCAGTACGAAAGAAGAAGAGGGAGGCCCCCAGGCACCAAGTCGGAAAACGGGTGAGCGACCTAGAGCAAACGCGCAGCACAGGCAGGGGGCCTGCCGGCTGTCAGGTGGGGGCGGGTGGTCGCGGCACACTGGTGGGAACAGGGCGAGGGCGGGGCAATCTACGGTCAGCAGTCGTCGGGAGAGCCCGGACACAGCCGCGGGGAGGAGTTCAGCAAAGGCGCAACATGAAAGCGAGGGGTGGGTTTGAGCGGCAGCCGCAGGCGGGGTGTTGGCAGCCTGGCTGCGGCGTGTCACGGAGCAGGCTATGTGCCCAGGTGTCGCTGTTGTACGGTAAATTAGGTCGTCAGCAGATCAGCAGCAGTGGTAGGTAGGTAGGTAGGCCAGCCAGCGGCCGCGGGGCTGTCGCAAAAAGGGGAGAGGGGGAGGGTAGGACCAGGGATCGGTGGCGGAAGGGGGTGGTAGAGAGGGCCTGCCCAAATGCTGGCAGGGTGAGGGGCGGCAGCGGCCAGGGCGGGGGCTCAGCCCATGACAGTCAGTGAACCAATTGGCTTCACGTCTGCATTGCTGGGGAGGGCGGGGCATGGCTGCCGGCGCGCTGGCTGCGGGGCGGGCATCAGGCCACCCCCACCGCGGGCGCCGCCGCCGGTAACTGCGGCGCTGCCGCCTCTGGCTGCTGCTGCGGCTGCTGCTCCTCGAGCTCCATGGCTTGCGACTGCTGCGTATCCGGCATGCCTGCATCCGCTTGCGCCGCATCCTCCTCCTCCTGCTTCACGCCCGCATCCCGCGCCTCGCCGCCGGCCGGCGGCGGCGGCCGGAACAGCGCTGGCGGCTGGGAGGCAGGGTGCAGCGGGAAGAAGCCCCAGGGGCCCAGCACCGGGGCCGTC